CCCATTGGCCACTGGCCATTGCCCCCTCCCCTCACATCCCCGCCATCGCCCCCGGCAACCCCATCGCCCGCCGCCAATCCGCGAACTGCCCCAGGTGCAGCGCCTCGTGCGACACGCACATGAACGAGATCAGGTCGATCATCGTCGGCAAATACGGCCCAAGCCGCCATTCCACTTCCTTGGAGAGCGCCGCGTCGCCCAGGTCACGCAGAGCCTCCTCCACAATCCCGTGCTGCCGCCGGTACTCCTCGAGCACGGATTCGAGCGCCGGGTACGCCGCGTCCGCGTCCGGCAGCCGCCGATCGCTCGGCCCCTTCCGCAGGAACAGCTCGTCGTACAGAGAAGGGATCGTCGGCGCCACCCCCAGGTGCTTCGCGAGAAGCGAAGACCCCGTCACGAGGTGCCCGATCACCCACACCGGATGATGCTCCAGCCCCTTCCCCGCGCCGGCGCACTCGACATCCGCCCCGACCCCCTCGCACAGCGCGCACGCGAACCGCTCGTGAAACCGATACGAAGTCACAATCGGTCCGAGCCGCGCGTTCATCGCGAGGTTGTTCTGGAAGCCCGAAGGCTCAGAGCGTGGCCGACGTGTAGGGCAGCAGGCCCATGTGGCGAGCACGCTTGATGGCCTGCGCGATCATCCGCTGCTCGCGGGCGCTCGTGCTCAGACGCTTGCGGCCGTGGATCTTCCCGTTCGGCGTCATCATCCGGCGCAGCTCGTCGACGTTCTTGTAATCGACAAAGATCGTCCCGTTCGCGGACTCCTTCAGGACGTTCCCCTTGCCCCCGAAACGACCGCCACCCGGACCACCACCGCTGAAATCGCTCGACATACCGAACTCCTCGTCATGGACTGACTCGGCCCACGCACCGGCGCGGGCGACGAATGAAAAGACAGACGGAACAGTCTACCAGAAACCCACCCCCCGGAACAGCGCCCCGCCAGAACCCGCAGGAACCCCCAAAAACGCCGTTTCGCCCACTGGACACACGGGCCCAAACCCGGGATAATCCCCCCTCTGACGCCACCTTAGCTCAGTCGGTAGAGCGAAGCTTTCGTAAAGCTTAGGTCATCGGTTCAAGTCCGATAGGTGGCTTTTTTCGTGCGCAGAGGGGGTTCAGCACCCGCAACCGGCGACGCGTCAGGAGCCCGAACGCACGCCGTCCCGTTGTGCCACCCACCGCTCAAACGTCTTCCGGAAATGAAACCCCTTTCCCGCCGACACCGGATCGCTCAGCTCAAACTCTCCCCCGCGATCCCGCATCCGCTCCAGCACCCCGTCGATCTCCGCCGTGCGCGACGGGAACGAGCCGCTCATCCGCGCGATCAGAAGCACCGCCCGTCGGACGTCCTCCGGCGCGTTGCCAAGCATGGCGAACTCCGCGTCGAGCACGCCTTCGAACTCAGAAGACCGCCCGGCCAGCGCGCCCGCCGTGCGCAACCGGCGTGACCACGCGTCGACGGACCGATCGTGATCGATCGGCCCCGGGTACAGCGCGTCCAGCTCCTCGCGCGTGATCCGCGACGCGTCCCAGTGCCCCAGCACCTTCCGGATGTACTGATCCCGGTACAACTCGCCGACAGTGAACTCCGACGGCCCCGTCCCCACCACGCCGACCGAAGGCGCCCGCAGCCCGATCCCCGCGTCGTCCATCAGCTGGCGGTTCGACGAGAGCAGGTCGTATCGCCGCTGGAGCACGCAGAGCCACACCCCGATCGATCGTAGCGCCGGGTCCTCATCGACAAGCATCGCCGCCGCCCGCTCCGCCGTCGCGCCCCGCACGAGCGCGACCCACGCCTCGGCCTGCCCCGCCGGGATGTGCAGAAGGGACTCGCTCACCGGCAGCGTCTCGATGCCATGGCGCGCGTCGAGTAGCCGCTGCGTCTCCGCCCGCTTTGCCTCGGCCTCACGCCGCCGGGCCTCGCTTTGCGAGAGCGACTCGCGCCATTCGCGGTCCGAAGCGACCCGTTCGTCAACCGCACGAGAATCCACGCGGATCGCATCGAACATCCGCCTCTGCTCAACGCTCATCCACTGCTTGTCGAGTTCGAGTTGGACGGTCAGATCAACCGAGAGGCTGGAGCCGCCTTGGTAGGGAAAAGACGCGTCCGGATCCTCCGCCGCGCGACGCGCCGCCAGCTCGTCGAGCAGCAGATCGAAGGCCTTCGGCCCGTACCGCGCATCCTCGAACAGCGGCGTGAAGAGCCAGTACACACGACGCAACGCTGAGTCCTTCTCAGAGTCTCCCCGGTACCGCTCGTACCGGTGCGTCATCTCCAGCGCCCGCGTCGCGTCGCGGAATGTTTGGTCCAGGCTGACCACGCCCGACTTCGTCAGGTCGCTGAAGTACACATTGATCTGCATCAATTCGTTGACCGATGTGGCATCCTCGTACCATCGCTCGATCAGCTCGTCACGCCGTGGTGAGCGCTCCCAGTTCTTCTGAATTCGCAAGAAAACGTCGTCGATCATCTGCTCAGCCACCGGGATCGCGTCGCAAGGGATCAGGCGCGTGACCACCTCGTTGAGATCATGCCGGATCGACAGTTCGTGCAAGACCGCCAGGCGAACAGCCACGCTGGGATGGCACGCATGCTCGAGCAGAACATCGGCATCGATCGCCGAAAAATCGGACGAATATCGCTTTGAAAACGCCTCAAGCTGCTCCATGTCTTCGAACGAGCAAGCCACACGCGGGCCGATGCTCCTGACGCGATCATGTCCCGACTCATCACGAATCAGAGTCGCGAGCAACCCCGCATTCTGGTGCGTAAACGGTGTGAGGCGGAATCCCGAATAATGCGCCGACCACAAGACGCCGTGCTCGGGTGAAAGGCGTGCCAGACAGTAGAACATCTCCCCTTCTTCGATATAAGGCGAATAGAACTGGTCCGGTGGGCTCATCCATGGCCTTCCGCGATGCTCCTCGGCGTAGATGAATGTAGTCGTCTCGCAGGTCAGCCCATCGAAGTCTTCAGCTTTGCCGAGAACCGTCGCGCGAATGACGAATCTCTGACGATGCAGCGTGCCGTACGGATGTTCTTCGTCGAGTGGCTCCGTGGATACGTGCTCAAGGCGAACCACAGCGAAGCGGTCCTCACCGTTGGTCGCAGCGACGCCCGACGGCGTGAGAATCAAAAGCATCGACCAACAGGCGAGGATCCTCAAAAGTTGCGTCATCGTCCGCACCCCTCACTCCCCCTCCGGCCAATCCGGCAACTCCGTCTTCGAACCCAACTTCCCCGTGTGATGCCCCCAATGCCACGCCATCCGCTCGAACACCGTCCGCAGTGACCACCCGCCACCCTCCGGACGCGCATCCAGCTCAACCCCATCCAGCAGATACCCAAACCGGCGCACGAACTCCTGCGTCCGCTCGATCTCCCGCACCTCCTCGGCCGGGCTCCACTCCGGGCGCTTCATCTCGTACTCCGCCGGCTTGTTGTTCGCCGGGCGCGGGTCCTCGCGCCGGAACGCGCTGTCCTTCTGCGCAAAGAAGTTGAGATACAGCGTGATCTCCTGACCCGCCATGTGCTCGATGTTCCACCGCGGCCGGTGCGTCCCATCGCTCGGCAGGTGGTTCATCTGCTCGAGCGTCAACGCCCCGAACGCCTCGCCCGAGAGCGCCGCCGCCGCCTCCTTCGCCTCGAACAGTTCCTTCAACTCCCCCTCCGGCGCCCACGGCGTATCCCGCAGCACCACCACCCGCGGCACGCGAGACTCCAGCGGGTGCGGCGTCGCCACCGCCACCGTGTTCCCGGGCAGCCGCTCCACCTCGTAGATCGGCGGCACGGACTCCAGTATCCGATCGACCATCGGCTGGTGCCCGACGAGCACGAGCATCGCCGGGCGGAGCGACCGGAGCATGCGGTCGGCCTTGACCAGGTCGTTCTCGTCCTCGTCCACGAGGAGCATCAGCGCGTCGAGCGAGCCGCCGACGTCTTCCGGCGTGATCTTGTCCTCGACCGGCGACGCGAAAACGACGCGCACGCCGTGGGCGCGGGCCAGGAGCATCCCGTCGCGACCGTGCTCGATCATCTCGAGGTGAACCGCGTTGTCCGAGCGAGCGATACGCAAGCGCGCGTCGTGGACCTGGATCTCCTCGGAATTCGGGAAGCGGTCAACGGTGACGGCGCTCGCCTCGATGTCCCGGGACGGGAAGACCGCGTCCACATCCGGGACGTGCTCGCGGACCCCCTCGCCGATGCCGACGTTGAGCCCCCAGAACGTCTCGATGCTCATCGCCTCCCCACCCCACCACCTCAGCGCAACAATCTCCCGGTAATGCTCCTGCGCCGAAGCAAGAGAAACAGAAACCAGAACCAACCCAAAAGCGAGCGCGTGACGCATACAAGACTCCTTCACAGGAATCTTACCCCTCACACCTCAAAATGTTCCCAAGCCACCCACCAACCCCCGAATCCCCCGCAAAGATCGCCGATTGCACCGGGCCTACCTCTCCCCCGCCCTGCGGTGGGAGAGGTCGGATTTCTTGCGCAAGCAGAAATCCGGGTGAGGGGGAGCACTGGGGTGGTCAGAAAAGAAAACCAGTGAGCATCACGACGCTGCCTGGTGTCAGCGCACCATCCGTATGTCGATTGCTTTGTCCCCCTCGTCCCCATTGCCCATTGCCCATTGGCCATTGCCCCCTGTCTTACGCCGCCTTACCCGCGACCATCCGATCCCACCGCTCGATGAGCGCGAGCGCGGTCTTCTCGTCGATCCGCTTCCCCGCGAACAGCACCCGGATGGGCTCGTCGCACCGCTCCCACACGCCAGCGCTCCGGTACACCTCGGGCCACAGAGACGTGCTCTTGCGCCGCATCGGCACACCGTCGAGCTCGAAGTATTGCGTGCGGGTCGAATTGCTCATGGGCGGGCTCCATCATGACTCAGAACCCCTATCGGACCGTTCCACCCCCAACTCAACCCCGATCCGCCCATAGCTACCCCGAACGCCAGTGAGGGGACCAGCACCCCCCATCCATGCACGCACCGATCCCATCCACATCAATGCCATAGCAACCGCGAGAGTCATCGAGCGGACACGCCGCACCGCCCGCCAACCCTTTCAAGCCCGGCGAACCACAACAAACCAACTCCAACGCTTGCGCCTACACCCCGCCGCGAAGCGGCGCTCCTCCCCCATTGCCCACTGGCCACTGCCCATTGCCCCCCTTCCCCCTCCCCCTAAACCCCCGTCGACCCAAACCCCCCCGCACCCCGCTCCGTCCCGCCAAGCTCCTCAACCCCTTCCACCCGAACCCGAGTCACCGGCGCGATCACCAGCTGCGCGATCCGCATCCCGCTCTCGATCTTGAACGCCTCGCGACCCAGGTTGATCAGCCCCACGATCACCTCGCCCCGGTAGTCCCAGTCGATCGTCCCCGGCGCGTTCACGACCGTCAGCGCGTGCTTGAAAGCAAGCCCCGACCGCGGCCGAACCTGCCCCTCATATCCCCGCGGGATCGCCATCGCGATCCCCGTCGGCACCTTCGCCACCGACCCCGGCTCCACGACCACGGGCGAGTCCAGCAGCGCGCTCAGGTCCATCCCCGCCGCGCCCTCCGTCTTGTACTCGGGAAGCACGGCACCCTCTCGAAGCCGCACGACTTCCAGAACAGCAGCGGGGGGGCCATCAACAAGGGTGGTGTCGCTCATGCGACGAGCGTAACGCGCAACGCCTGCGCAGCGACAGCGTTGAACGCATTGTGGAAGATGTGAAACTGGGGGGGATTCCGGGGGGTCAGGCTGGCGACAGCGAGCCGGTCTTCTGCAGCTTGCGCGCCAGCTCCTCGACCACGCGTCGGAGCGACTCCACCATGCGCGTCGTGGACGCGATCTTCTCGTCGAGCGACGAGCGACCCGTCACCGACTTCACCGCGTCGTCCTTCTGGAGACGGGTCAGATGGGCCTCGCATTCGGTCCGGGTGTCCTTGAGGCAGGCCAGCAGCCCCTCCGCGAGGCGCAGGCGATCCCGCGCCTCCTCGTAGAGCGTCGCCAGCCGGTCCCCGCCCTGCGGCGGAATCCGGATCTCGAAGTCGGGCGTCGTGTTGCCCATGGGTGTTCCTCCCAGAAAGAGAGGCTCCTGCTGGCTCCCGCCAGCGCGGTCGGATCGTCCGATCCGGTATCCGTATTGTCCCAGCCCAGCACCCGGGTTTCAACCCGAGATCAGGACCGGCCCGCCAGATCAGGCCGTTCGTGACCCCTGCGAAGAGCCAGACGCGATATCGGACGTCCATCCAATCGTCGGCACGTACCGTTGGATGCCTTCAAGAACCGATTCGTTCCGAACCGCTTTCCGAACCGCAGTCATCTCGCTCACCATGCGGGAAACCTCCTCCGGACGCGGCAAATCGCCGAGCCAGGCCTTCACCCCCGGGACCTCCGTCGGGCGGAGATCCTCCGCTTGATAGGCAAGCTCCTCGTGCAATTTCTCCCCCGGCCGGATCCCGGTGAACAGGATCCGAACGCCGCTCCGCGCCGTACTCGCCGCCGTCTGACCCTCGAACACCGGCTCGAACCCGTGCAGACGCACGAACCGCTCGGCCAGCTCCCGGATCCGCACCGGCGCCCCCATGTCCAGCTCGAACACCCCGCCCCCGGGCCCCGCCTCCAGCGCGCTCGCCTGGATCACCAGGCTCGCCGCCTCCGGGATCGTCATGAAGTACCGCGTCATCTCTTCGTGCGTCACCGTGATCGGCCCGCCCTCGGACAGCTGCCGGCTCCAGATCGGCACCACGCTGCACGCGCTGCCCAGCACGTTCCCGAACCGAACGAGCGAATACGAGCACCCGCCCACCCCGCCCGCCCCATTGAGCGAACGGACGTACAGCTCCGCCATCCGCTTCGTCGCGCCCATCACCGAACTCGGGTTCACCGCCTTGTCCGTCGAGATGAGCACGAACCGCGAGCACCCGCTCGACCGGGCCGCGTCCGCGACGGACTTCGTCCCGAACAGGTTGTTGTTCAGCGCCGCACCCGGGTGCGTCTCCATCATCGGCACGTGCTTGTGCGCCGCCGCGTGGAACACGACGTCCGGCTCCGTCTCCAGAAACGCCCGCAGCGTCGGCTCCGGCTCAACGACATCATTGAGAATCGCCCGGCGCGTGACCTCCGGGTGCCGCCGGTGGATCTCCGAATCGATCTCGAACAGCGCGTTCTCCGCCCGCTCCATCAGGACGAGCGTCTCCGGCTCGAACCGCGCACAGATCCGCGCGAGTTCCGACCCGATGCTCCCGCCCGCCCCCGTGATCAGCACCCGCTTCCCCGTCACCGCCCGACGCACGAACGCCGGGTCGATCGGCTTCGGCTCGCGACCGATCAGCGCCTGCACATCCAAAGGACCGCCAGGAGTCATCCGAGTGGCCACACCGTCCGTCAGCAGATCATCGATCGTCGGGATGAACCGAACCGCCGCCCCCAAATCCTCGCACGCCTCGCGCACCCGCTCGCTCGCCCGGTGCATCGCCCCCGGAAGCGACACCACCGCCGTCCCGAACGGCGTCCGCGAGTAGATCGCCGGCAGCTCGTCCGCCGAGCCCAGCACCCGCATCCCCAGCGCCGTCGCGGCCGGCGCGTTCGCCCCGTCGATCACGACCACCCCGAACGGCCGAGGAACCGCCCCCGACCCGGAAGCCTCGAGCTGACGCATCGCCCCCGCGAGCGTCTCGGGCGTCCCGATCGCGATCGCCCCATCCAACGCGGCATTCGGGGAAACGGGGTTGTCATTCGAGGGGCGTGTCATAGCTCTCCCGGCCAGCGCAAAGTGATACCACCAACCCTTCTATCGGACGATCCCGAACCCCCGCTCAACCGAATGAAGTCCCGTGAAACCCGGTTCCAACGTCCGAGAACACGATTCAGAGGCGACGAACGGTTGATTCCAACCCCTCCCGGAGGGAGGGGCAGGGGAGGGTTCAAGCAAGCGACCAAAGGTCGCGCAGCGCCCAAATCAACAGCCGCGAAGCGGCCATCTTCAACCCCCGAGTGCCAAGTGCCTAGTGCCTCCTGCCTTCTTCCCCCGGATCAATCTCCCGCAAATACGACCACGAAAAGATCCCCGTGTCGTGCCCATCCGAGAACCGGATCCGGATCGCGTAATTCCCCACCATCTCCGCCGACTCCGCCACGAGCGGCCCACCCGACGCCGCCGAGCTGGGCAAGACCGTCAGCGGGTTCTTCTTCATCTCCTCCCGCAGCTGCCGCGCCTCGGCCGAGGGCGACATCTTCCGCAGGTACGCGATGGAGTAGTAGCTGCTCGACCCGTCCGCCCACTGGACGGTGAGGCCCTTGTCCTTCTTGAGGTCGAGGTTGGTGGGGGGGGCGGTGGTCATCGACGAGATTGTATGAACGACCCCCCGCCAACCGCCCGGGACGCGCAGAAAAAAACGCCCCGTTGCGGGGGCGTGTAGAGGCAGATCAGTTCGGCAATGGCGAATCAGGCTTGTTACTTCTCGAAGAAATACGCCGAGCCGGAGCTGGCACCATTGTCGTCGTCAAGGGGGGAGCCGGGGTAGACCCAACCGTCGCTGACGGCAACCGCCGAACCGAACCGGTCTGACGCGGCTCCATCGCTCGCTAGGAGTTTGCCGTAAAAGTAGCCACAGTTCGTGTCAAAGATGTATGCGGATCCGGCGTCGGTGCCGAGCGTTGCGTCGTCATCGAACGGTGCGCCGACAACCACATCGTGATCCAGTATGGCGACCGATGAGCCAAACGCATCACCGGAAGCGCCATCGGGAGCAAAAAGTTTGATGGGGTCCGCGCTGAGATCGCCGCTGTCGTACATGAAGGCCATCCCATTGGTGTCACCCGGCGCACCCACAACAACGCGAAGAGAATCCGCTGCAAGACTCGAGCCAAATCCGTCATTCGCGCTGAGGGCCGTCGGTGAGAATTTATCACCTTCTGAATATGTCACCGTTGGGAATCCAGAGCCGACGAACTCGTACATCGCACCGGCGTTCGTCCCTTCATCGTCATCACTTGGGGCGCCGATAAAGAGGTTAAACTGATCTACCATTGCGACGGAGAAACCGAATTCGTCTCCCGCGCCACCATCCGATGCCGTGAATTTGTCGAGTTCAACCGGGCTCGTGGGGGTTGTGAGTAAAAGCCCTGAAATGTCATAGAGGTACGCCGAGCCCGAGCCGTTCCCCTCGTCGTCGTCGCCGGGCGCCCCAACCAGCACAGTCATGCCCACAATGGCGACTGAGTGACCAAAGTAATCCCCCGATGACCCGTCACTCGCTGTGAGTACTGCGAGTTCATCGCCCGTGACAGCATCGAAGACGAAAACCTCGCCTACACCTGTGCCGTAAAGATCGGGGGCGCCGATGACCACTAATTCACCAGAAGAATTTGCTGCTACCGAGTAGCCGAAGTTATCCGTGCTCGTGCCGCCTGTGGGTGTCAGCTTGTCGACTTGGCTAAGTGTCGACGCATCGAAGACGTACACGGCGCCCGGTCCGGAATTGAAGGAACTGCCGGGTGCGCCGACGTACACATCATCGCCGTTCGTCGAAATGGAGCTGCCGAACAAATCATTGAGATCGCCATCACTCGCATCGACTTTGGTATCTTCAAACGGGCTATCAAAATCAAGCTCAAAATGGTACGCGGAGCCGGACTGCGTCCCGCCAACCGTCTCGAGCACGGCGCCCACGGTGATGTTCATGCCGTTGATATCCACGGAACGACCGAACGCGTCACCGCCGGCGATGTCGTCCGAAACAAACCGGCACACAAGGTCTCCCGTATTCACGTCGTATACGTACGCAACCCCGGCGGCAACGCCATTCGACACGCCGTTGCCCGTGTTATTGACGGCTCCGACGACCGCATAGTCGCCGTCGATGGCGACCGAATAGCCGAACCAGTCCTCGTCGTGCGAGTCCGGGGGGATCAGCGTGTGCAGACGCGTCTCGGTGCTGCCGTCGAAGATGTACGCCCGGCCGTGCTCATCCGTCGAGCTGAAGTCGTCCATGCCCGGATCGCCGACGATAACGAGCGTCCCGTCCAGGTCGGCGTGCCGGCCGAACAGAGTGTCCGTCGACGTGATCGGGTCGTCCAGGACCGCAATTTCCTCGATATCGACCGTGTCGTTCACGAGGTCGATGTCGCTGATTTCGTAGAGATACACCTTCCCGTCGTCCGACTGCTGCTCCCCGGACGTGACCAGGATGTAGTTGCCGTCGATGGCCACGTCTCGGCCGAAGTTCTTACCAGCGCCGCCGTCGCTCGACCTGAACTTGTTGGTCAGCGTGGAAAAAGTGCCGCTCGTCAGGTTCGTAATCGTGAGTTGATCGCCGGTCTCCGCTTCGAAGAGGTACACGGAGCCGATATTGCTCGATCCGGTATCAGAGTCGTGGATAGAACTCACGACGACGATGTCGCCGTCGATCGCGACGTACTTCCCGAAGGCGTCGCCGCAGTCGTCGTCGTCGGCGACGAGTTTCGCGATCTGGTCGCCATCTGTCGCGTCGAAGAGATACGCCGCTCCAGAGTTGCAACTCGGACCGCTCGCGCCCGGTGCTGAATCGTCGTGCGGCGAGCCGACAACCGCGATATCGCCGGAGAGATCGCTGATGTACCCGAACAAATCGCCCTCCGTGTTGCTCGGGTGCGAATTTGGATCGCTGCGAACGAGTTGAACAACCTCCGATCCGTCCGTCAGACTAAAGATCCAGCACCCTCCGATGCGGTACTCATCCTCGCCGTCCGGCGGGATCATGTCGTCTTCGATGTCGTAGTTCATCGCCCCAATGATGACACGCGTCCCGTCGATGTTCACCGATGAGCCCAGGTAGTCCTGGCTATCGATGTCGCTGTGGTACAGCTTGTGCGCCTGAGAAATCAGCTGCCCCCGGCATTCGGTCGCGGCGACGGTGCCGCACACGAACGCAAGAATTGATACATGCGTGCAGTTCATACGGAAAACCTCCTTGGTTGAGAACCCGGTATCGGGCACGGAAGGATGTTATCAAACTCATTCCGCCAACAACACAAAATATCATGCATTGCGAGTGAACGGCGCGACACGTGACGGACGATTCACGCGAAAATATTAACGATTTAACGAAATATAAAATTGCTTATGGTGGTGACGGGCTACGCGGATCGCCGTCGCCGGGTCAATCGCACGCCCCGAACACAAACAACGCCGCGACAAGGTCGTTGAAGTCAACAGACCCCGACTCGTCCGCGTCGCACCGCGCATCGCTCATGTTCCCGAACTCGAACAGCATGCTCACGAGGTCGTTGAAATCGACGGTCCCGCTCTCGTCGCAGTCGCCAACGCACAGCGCCGCGCCCTGGAACTCGTACGCGCCGAGGTCGACCGACCCGCCCACGACACGCGGGTCGCCCGCGAGGTCGGTCGTGAGGTCCATCGGAAGGTTGACCATGTCGCCCGCGTCGATCGCCGGGGAATCCGGCGCGAGCCGGAAATCGCCGCCGGCCTCATCGACGAAACGCGGATCGAGCTCAAGGATGTCCATGCCCGTCGGCAGCCCGCCCTCGATCAGCGAATCCACGACGATCGTCGAGTTGCCGGGCGTGTCGTGGATCTGCTCCTCCTCGTTGCCCCAGAAGACGCTGTTCGAGACGAACATCAGGCTCGCGCTCTCGTAGATCCCGCCGGTGTCCTCGGCGTGGTTGTTGACGACGGTGCACGAGGTCATGGTCACGAACGTGAAGCCGGAGAGCTGGACGCACATCATCGCCCCGCCCCGGATGCCGGCGGAATTGTTCTCCATCAGGCAGTTCGTGAGGCCGCACGTCTCCGCGCGCTCGATGTACATCCCACCCCCGCGCTCGCCCGCGGTGTTCCCACGCATGACGCAGTCCACGAGGCGGCACGACCCGGCGATCCTGACATAGATCGCGCCACCAGTCCCGGACTCGTTCCCCTCAAAGACGCAATCCCGGATCACCGTCTCGAACTCGCTCCAGACATAGATCGCGCCGCCTTCGCCGAAGAACAACGTGGGGTGGCTCGTGGTGTTGGATCGGAAGTCGCACCCGGTGATCTCGGCCCGCTGGACCCGGAGATTATAGATAGCGCCGCCGAACGATAATCCTCGGTTCGATTCGAAGTCGCAGTCGGCGACAGCCATCTCGTCGGTCCAGAGAGCGTAGATCGCCGCGCCCCGCCCGACATTGTTCCGGAAGACGCACTGTTCGAGCACGAGCAGGTCGTCGTACGAGCTGTAGACCGCCCCGCCATGCATGTTCGACGTATTGTCGTCGAACGTGCTGTCCACGATCGTGACGCTGCCGCCGTCGCGTGAGAACACCGCGCCGCCGTACGAGGCCTCGCAGCCCCGGAATTCGGAACCGGTCACGACGAGCGTGGAACCGACATTGGAGATGGCGCCGCCCCCGCGATCGCTGGAAAACGTGCAGGACTCGATCACGTTGTTGTCGATGAACCGGCACCCGATGATCGCGGTGTCACTCGAAACGCAGAGCAGGGCCCCCCCTCCGCTGCTCAGCCCGCTCCCCTGGGTCACCGGATCGTGCGGGAAGCAGTCCGGCTCGATCGAGTTGTTGTCCCTGAACACGCAGCGGTACAGGACCGGGGACGAGCCGACACAAAGCATGCCGCCGGCGCCGTAATCGGTCTGCCCGTTCCGGATCGTCAGCCCCGCGACGATCGTCCCCTCGCCCTCGCCCGAGTCGCAGGTGATCACGGTGCCGTTCTCTTCACCGTCGATGATCGTCGCGTCAACCGTGGCCGGGTCGTCCGGATCGACGCTCCGCAACGTAATCGATTTCCCGAGCAGATCGATCCGCTCGAACCACACCCCCGGCGCCACCACCACCTCGTCACCCGCCACCGCCGCATCAATCCCCGCCTGGATCGTCGGCTGATCCGCGGGAACGTTGATCACACCGGCACACACCAACGACGGCAGAGCCGCCACGACACACACAGCAGAGCGAATCATCGGGGAATCTCCAGCACGTGAAATCATCGAAAAAAAGGAATGGACATACGAAAACGTACCCCGACCCGCTCCCGGTACAAATCCGTGGCCCCCGAAATCGGGAAAGAGACAGCACCAAGAGCGAAAAAGACCCTACTATCCCGTCGCATCACGCTCCGAATAGTCTCAGGCGCAAGGCCCGAACAGGAACAACGCCGCGACAAGGTCGTTGAAATCAACCGACCCGGACGAATCCGCGTCGCACCGCGCATCGCTCATGTTCCCGAACTCGAAGAGCATGCTCACGAGATCATTGAAGTCGACGGCACCGGAGTTGTCGCAGTCGCCCGCGCAGACGGTCGCGCCTTGGAACTCGTACGCGCCGAGATCGACTATGCCGCCGACGACGCGCGGATTGCCGTCGAGATCGGTCAGGGCGCCCCCCGGGACGGCCGTATTGTCGCCCTCGTCGAGTGCCGGCGATGCGGAAGCAAGCCGAAAGTCCGCGGTCATTGGATCGACGAAAAGAGGATCGTTCTCGATGACGCCCATGCCCATGAATCCGCCTTGGACGACGGAGTCTTTGACGATCGCGACCCCCATGCCGGAAATCTCATCTGAATCACCGTTCCAGAGGATGCAATTCGTCACCGTGACTGTTCCCCCCGGGGTATCAGACAGATCGAACGAATCACCGCTGAACACGGTCGTGTTCTCGACAAACGTGCAATTGATGTACGTCGGATCACTCTCGAGCACGAAGACCGCTCCGCCAGTGGCGCCGTGGTTTCCAACGAAAAGCGAATTCGACACAGTGTGGTTGGCAGAACCGGAACAGTTGAAAACGCCCCCGTCACTCGACGCCTGATTCCCGCGGAAGACGCATCGGTCGAATGCCGCCTCGGAAAAACTGATGACGATCGCGCCGCCATCATCCAGAGCGGTGTTGTTTTCAAAGAGGCAATCTGCAAAGGTCGCGTTAGAACCGAATACAGCGAGCGCTCCGCCGTCCTCCTGTGATGTGTTGGCGACGAACGTGCATCGGCGCAGAGTCGGGCTGGCGCCGATGATTTCGAGCGCGCCAGCATCTTCGGCGTGGCCGTTCGTGAAGGTGATCCCATCGATTAGTGTCGACGAGCCCTGCCCGCCGGTGATCGACATGATCCTGAACGAGTTCTGTCCATCGAGGACGACGGCTCCGCGCTCACCCGCAGCGGCGCGGAGAATTAGATTCTTCGATCCAAGATCGAGCTCCTCGGAATAGGTCCCAGCAGAGAGAACGATCTCATCGCCACTCACCGCCGCGTCGATCGCCCCCTGGATCGTCGCGTGGTCCGCGGGAACATTGATGACCGCGGCGTGCGCGAGCGCCGGGAGCAGGCAAACGGCAAGGGCAGCGAGGCGTTGCATAGCGATTCCCCTGTCAGAGGCACGGATGTTCGACGAACGCGATCACACGTACCCTAAGCCGAGCACCGGGGATGACCAAGCAAAATACAGGAACAGACACGATGAGCTGCCCTGAGACGCCCTGAGCACCTCCGGCCGCCCCCCGTGTCAGGCTCTATCAAGGACACGGCCCGAACAGGAACAGCGCCGCGACGAGGTCGTTGAAATCGACCGTGCCGGACTCGTCCGCGTCGCACCTGCATTCGTCCGACGGACCGAACGCAAAGAGCATCTCGACGAGATCGTTGAAGTCGACCGCGCCGCTCGAGTCGCAGTCGCCCGCACAGAAATCGGAAGTGCCCTGGAATTCCTGCGCGCCAATATCGACGATCGGCCCGTCCCCCGCGCCGGTGTTCGGCGAGCACGGGTCGTCGGCGAAGCGTGGATCGCCATTCAGGTCTATAGCGATCTGCGGAGGCAACTCGTCGTTCAGCCCCGCGTCGATCGCTGGAGATCCGGGGAGCAGCGAATAGTCGCACGTATCCGGATCGGCGAACAGGGGGTCGGCGTCAAGTATTCCTTGGCCGAAGGCGCCGCCTTCTACGATGCAGGCGGCTACATGCACAATCGTCCCGCGATAGGCGTCGAGCTGATTCGGGATGTTGTTCCATAGGATGCAGTTCGCAATGACCGGGATATTTGATGCAGAATTGCCATTGAGTATCCCCCCGCCGTTTACACCTGTCGCGCCGTATGATTCGTTTCCAGTAAAAGTGCAAGAAATTATCCTAGATGCACCATTGTTGGTTATTGCTCCGCCATCCCTCGCACGGTTGTCCGCAAAGAGGCAGCCAGCAATTGTCGAAGAACCACTAAGAATCCACATCGCGCCTCCAGAAAGACCTCCCGAGTTTCCTTTGAAGACACAATTGTAAATCTGCGGAACACTTTGCCCAGTGACGAAGATCGCGCCGGCGAAGTTCGCGACATTATTGACGAACTGGCAATTCACGAAAATCGGTTCGCTCTGAAAATCAACGCGTGCCGCTCCGCCCCATGGTGACCAGTTCGATTGGAACACACAGTCCATGAAAATCGGGCTGCCCGAATGTTCGACAGTGATTCCCCCGCCTCGCGTGCTGGCACCCGTTGAATTCTGAAAGGTAATCCCGCGAATGAGAGTGCTGTCGCCGACGCCGCTCAGATAGAGCATGCTGTTACCGCCGAGGTCTGTTCCGTCGAGAGCTGTTTGCACTCCAGTCAAAGTCAGATTTTTGCCCTGAAGCGTGAGCTTCTCGAAGTACACCCCCGGCGCCACCACAACCTCGTCCCCATCCACCGCCGCATCAATCGCTCCCTGAATCGTCGCGTGATCCCCCGGCACATTGATCACCGCCCCAGCCGCAACCCGCGAAAGCACACAAAGACTCACTGCAAGAACAAGGAACCGTTCCACGATGCTCCTCCTCATCCGCGACACGCCTCCCGCGTCACGCAGAATCAGGGTACAGGGCACAGTCAGGTAAACAACATAAATCTCCGTATTTCACCTCCCCTGCGCAACTATCCAACACTCCAAAGAATCCACTTGGACCCCCGCCCACGGCGTCGTATGGTCCACCCCATGACGACACCAACGGCAGCGCACCGCATCACCGAAGACGACGCGAAGCTCATCGACCTCTTCACCGACCCCGAAATCTCCCTCCGAGCCGCCCGCGCCGAAATGGGAATCTCCTACGCCGAACTCGAGCGCCGCCTCGCGCAGCCCCACATCCGCGAAGCCATCGAACGCCTCGCCCGACTCCACGAGCAGCGCGCCAAAGTCCTCGCCCGCTGCGCCGCCGACGACGCCGCGACAACGCTCACCCAGCTCATCTTCGACAACACCGCCAACCCCGAAACCAGACGCAAAGCCGCGAGCAACATCCTCCGAGCCGCAAGCGCCCCGACCCCGAAACCCCTAGCCCCCACACCGCCGCCAAAAACGGACAACACGCCAACCCCGCCCCCCATCACCCTCAAACGCCCAAGAACCTACCCCCTCCACAACCCCTACCCCAGCCCAACCCCAACGCCCATCGCGCGCACCAACACCCCTGAGCCAACAGCAAGATCCCCGTAACTCTGAAACGTGCCGACCGGAAGCCCTGATGCCTGATGGCTGGTGCCTGATGCCTCACATAGGCTTCGCATCAATCGTCGCATCGAACACCGACAGCAGCTTCTCCTTGTCGAACACCATCTCCTGGCGCGACTGGCCCACCACGTCGTACTCGTGCGTCAGCTCGATCGCGTCCACCGGGCACGCCTCCTCGCACATCCCGCAGAAGATGCACCGCAGCTCGTCGATCTCGAATTTCATCGGGTACTTCTCGCGGTCGTCCCACGGCGACTCGTTCGCGACGATGTGGATGCAGTTCGCCGGGCACGCCGTCGGGCACATCATGCACGCGACGCACTTGACGCGCCCCTCCTCGTCGCGGTTCAGCCGGTGGATCGCGCGGAAGTTGGCCTTCTCCAGGCCGCCCTCCTCGATCGGCATGTCCTCGCGCCGCTCCTCGGGGTACTGCATCGTCCGCGTCGTCTTGCTCGCCCCGAGCACCGGCAGCTTGGACTGCCCGAAGCTCGTGAAGAAGTGCCGCACCGTCGTCCCGAACCCGCGGACGATTTCCGGGATGTACACCGCCTCCGCGGCACTCATCGGCGGACGGCTCAGACGCTTGATGTCACTCGAGGCGATCGGCATGGCCACATCCTATCGACCACCGGACAGCTCGGGCAATCCCGCGACCGCCTCCGCGATCAACGATTCCGCCCCCCGCATCCCCGCTTCCGCGTCCACCCCTTCCGGCGTCGCGCGGACGCACCTCGAGAACACCCGCCCCGCCTCCGCCCACCCCTCCCCGAAGCTCCCCGCCACGCACACGCACGGCACCCCCAGCTCCTCCGCGAGCCGACCGACCGCCCACGCGATCTTCCCGGCGACCGACTGCATATCCAGCCGACCCTCCCCCGTGATCACCAGGTCGGCCCCCGCCATCTTCTCGCGGAGCTTCACCGCGTCGATGACGACCTCCGATCCCGGCGTGAGCCTCGCCCCCGCGAACACCCGAAGCCCGAACCCGAGCCCCCCGGCCGCGCCGTCGCCCGGGTGGTCGTTCTGTTGCGAACAGACCCGCTGCAGATTCGCGAGCCCATCGTCGAGCTGTTCGACCTGTTCCGCCGTCGCCCCCTTCTGCGGCCCGAAGACCCGCGCCGCGCCGGGTTCGCCGGTGAGCGGGTTGTCGACGTCGTTCGCAACCGTGACGCTCACCCCAGCGAGCGGATGCGCTTTCGGCGGCTCGATCCGCGCGATACGGCCGAGCGTGTTACCGACCGGTTCGAAAGCCTCGCCGTTCTCGTCTTGGAAGGTGAACCCGAGCGCGAGCGCGACGCCAACGCCGCCGTCCACCGTGCCGGATCCGCCGAGCCCGACGGTGATCCGCTCGGCCCCCCCGCGCGCCATCGCGAGGAGCATCTCGCCGATGCCGCGTGTCGTCAGCGCGCCGGGGTCTCGCTCACCCGGCGCGACAAAGCCGAGGTGCACGATATCCGCGACCGTGAAGACCGCCTCGCCGTCGACGGCGCACCACGGCACGCCGACCGACCGCCCGTGCGACCCGGTCACGCTCAGCGTACGAAGCTCGGCGCCCGCCGCCGACGCGATCGCCTGCGTGAACCCCTCGCCGCCATCCGAGACCGGGCACTCGACGGCGTCGTGCGACCCGGCGCGCGAAACGCCCTCGCGCATCGCGTGGGCGACGGCAAGGGCGTCGAGGCAGCCTTTGAAACTGTCGGGACAAAGAAGGACGCGCATAGCGCGCACCAAGGTATCACCCGCCCAGCGCGCCGGACTCGATCTCCTTCAGGAAGCCGACGAAGTCGCGCCGGTGCTCCTGCTCGTCGGCCATCAGGGCGATCGCCATGTCCTGCGTCGCGTAGTCCTCGCCCTCGCAGAGCTCGATGACCTTCTTGTATCCCGCGATCGCCGCCTCCTCGGCGTCGATCACGCCCTTGATCACGGAGACGACGTCCGTCGTCTCGGACGGGGGCTGGAGGGTGGTCTGCGTCATTTTCAGCGCCTGCGAACCGGGAACGGTGCCGCCGATGGTCTTGATGCGCTTCGCCAGCATCTGCGCGTGGCTCAGCTCCTCCTGGACGTCCTCTTCCAGGGCGGTTTTGATGTGCTTCGCGCGAATACCGTCGAGGTTCACAGAGTTCGCGATGTAGTTCGCGACGGTCTCGAGCTCGGCGTTGTAGCACGCGACCAGCGCGTCGATGATTTCTTTGTTCGGGGTATCGCTCACGGAGACCTCCTGTAGGATGGTTTGTATCAGTGGGAAGTTTGGCATCCATTCGATGCCCCAGCCGGTCGCCCGGTTACAGCGACGCAACGAAAATCGGTCGCCCCTCGCCCCAGCCCAACGGAGGCACGCCATGATGATCCGCCGCACCGCCGCCCTCGCCTGCTCGCTCGCCCTTGCCTCGGCGGCGCCGGACGCGCACGCCGAGCCGCTCACACCGGACGAGGTGTTCGCGAAGCTGCACCACCCGGAACTGGGCGACGTGGACTGGTCGCGCGATTTCGAAGGGACGATCGAGGCGTCGAAGGCGTCCGGCAAGCCCGTGCTCGTGCTCTTCGACGAGGTCCCCGGCTGCCACACCTGCATCACCTACGGGCAGGAGATCCTCTCCAACCCGCTGCTCGTCGAGGCGGCCGAGACGCTCTTCCACCCCGTCGCCGTGTTCAACAACGTCGACGGCAAGGACCGCACCGTCCTGAGCTACTTCAAGGAGCCGACCTGGAACAACCCGGTCGTGCGCGTGATCGACGCCGAGCTGAACATGCTCGCCCCGCGCGTGAGCGACGAGTACACGACCGCGGGCATCACCAAGGCCATGATCGCCGCGCTCGAGAAGGCCGAGCGCGACGTCCCCGCGTACCTCCGCCTGCTCAACGAGGAGGCGCGCATGAACGCGAAACCCCTCGCCACCGCGACCTTCGCCATGCACTGCTTCTGGGAGGGCCAGGCGCAGCTCGGCTCCCTCCCGGGCGTCGTCGAGACCGAGTGCGGCTGGATCGGCAACCTCGAGACGGTCGACGTCGAGTACGACCCCGAGCGCATCAGTTACGACGAGCTGCTCGCCAAAGCGCAGTCGATGCAGTGCGCGTCGAAGGTCTTCGCGCGCACGGACAAGCAGCTCGAGGCCGCGAAGAAGGCCGTCGGAGACCGCGCCGAGCGCTCGGACGAAGAAGCGCGCCGCGTGCCGAAGGACGAGCTCTACAGACTCCAGCACTCGACGTGGAACCACGTCCCGATGACGCCGCTCCAGGCGGAGAAGGTCAACGCGGCCCTGGGCCTCGGGCAGGACCCCACGCCCCTCTTCTCGCCCGCGCAGCTGAGGTACCACGAGATCGTGCTCAAGTACCCCGACCGTGAGTGGAAGGTGCCCACCCCGGCGCACAACCTCGACGGCCAGATGAACTACGCGCAGATCTACGACGACGCAATGGAGCGCGTGAAGGCCGGCGGCGCGGGCTGAGCGGCGGCGTCATTCAGAAGGACGAATCAGATCGATGGCACAGACTTTCCCTGAGCTTCCGGGTTGGGAGTTCGAGACCAACGAGATCACGCCCGGTGTCTACCGGGTATCCGGGCGAGACCGCGCTGGGCGAACCGTCGATCGAACAGGTCTCGACCCCGACGCTCTGATTGAAGAAAGCCGGGGCATCGCGGTAGGAATGATGGTTGACGTGGAGAGCGCTGGGGAGGGCTGAGCACTGGTGTTAGACATCGAGCGGCCCAGGGCACGGGCCGAAGAGGAAGAGCGTCGCGACGAGGTCGTTGAAATCGACCAGCCCGCTCGCGTCCGAGTCGCACACGCCGCCGGACTCGTCGCCGAACTCGAAGAGCGTGGCGATCAGGTCGTTGAAGTCGATCGTGCGCGAGCCGTCGCAGTCGCCCGGGCAGAAGGGCGGGGCCGCGAGGGTGAGCGTGAGGCGGAGGGTGGGGAAACGGGCGTCGAGCGGGAACACGCCGGAGCCGCCGTGGGATTCGATGAAGGCGCCGCCCTGCCAGTTGAAGAACCACGCGGCGAGCCCCTGCCCGTCGGGCGTGCCGATGAAGCCGTTGAGGCTGTCGTCGTGCTGGGCGAAGCTGAAGGTGCCGATGCCGGACCAGCCCTGTTCGAAGCTGGAAAACCCGTAGCTGCGCCCGTTGAAGGTGAAGCTGCCATCGAAGGTCCAGACGTTGGGATCATCGACGACGAGGACGATCTCGAGGAAGGCGTCGACGACCTCGCCCTCGATGGCGTGCGCGCCGATGATCTCGCCGGCGACCGTGTCCGGGGTGAACGAGGAGAGATCGAAGACGACGGTCTCGCACCCCTCGCACCCGCCGATCTCCCCGTGGCCCTTGGAGGGTTCGCCCGCGAGGGCGTGCGGAGCGGAAAGAACCGACGCGCCGAGCGCGCACGTGACAACGAGCCGATCAAACATGGCAGACCTCCTTGCCCCGACGATATGTGTGTGTGGGCGGCGCGCGGTGCGCCTCACTTGGGTACCGAGGTCGCGGAGTCGGGACGCGATCGGGGGGTGGGAAATATGGGAAATTTTCTGATGGGGCGTGATCACTCGCTTCACGGGCACGGGCCGAAGAGGAAGAGCGCAGCCACGAGGTCGTTGAAGTCGACGACGCCGGAGGCGTCGGTGTCGCAGGCGATCGTCGGGTTGCCGAATTCGAAGAGCATGGCGATGAGGTCGTTGAAGTCGATGGCGCCGGAGTTGTCGCAGTCGCCGGGGCAGGGGGCGGTTGCGGGGCATTGGTTGAGGAGGATGCTGATGTCGTCGCTGAAGTAGTTCGTCACGGCGAGGTCGGGTGTCCCATTGCCGTCGAGGTCGTGAATCGCGACGGATCCCGGTGACTCGCCACCGCCGAAACGCTGCTCGTTCGGAAATGATCCATCGCCGGTGCCGAGCAGGATGCTCACATCATCGCTGAAGCTGTTCGCCACTGCGAGATCGGGCGTGCCGTCCCCGTCGATGTCGTCGATCGCGACGGAGACCGGCGCGCTGCCCGTGCCGAAGCGCTGCTGGGTCTGGAAAGTTCCGTCGCCGATTCCGAGCAGGATGCTTACGTCGGACTCGGTACGGTTCGCAACGGCGAGGTCGGGCGTCCCGTCGCCGTTCAGATCGCCGATCGCGACCGCGTATGGAGCCAGGCCCGCGGTAAATATCTGTGCTTTCTGGAAGGATCCATCGCCGTTGCCAAGCAAGACGCTGACATCGGTGCTTGAAAGGAGAAAGTTCGCAACAGCGAGGTCGAGGACTCCGTCTCCGTTCAGATCGTCCATCGCGACAGAAAACGCCCCGTCGCCCGCGGCGTATCGCTGCTCACTTTGGAAGGTCCCGTCGCCGATTCCGAGCAGGATGCTCACGTCGTCGCTGTTGCGATTCGCCACGGCAAGATCAGGAATGCCGTCGCCGTCCAGGTCACCGATGGCGACGGAGGTCGAGAAGTTGCCCGTGTGATAGCGCTGCTCATTCTGGAAGGAACCATCACCGATTCCGAGCAGTACGCTCACATCACTGCTAAAAGCGTTCGCCACGACGAGGTCTGGGATTTCGTCATCGTTTAGGTTGCCGATCACGACGAAGAACGACCCTGTGCCAATGCTGAAACGTTGCTTGGCCTGAAACGATCCGTCGCCATTGCCAAGCAGGACGCTCACATCATTAGTGCTTTGGTTCGCCACAGCGAGATCGGGGACCCCGTCGTTATTCAGATCGCCGATCGCGACGGAGAATGGCGTAATTCCAACGCCCGACGTTGGATTGCTTTGCGGGAAGAGCATCGATGGGTCGCACTGGGCGAGCGCGTTCGATGAAGCTGCTGAGACGGATATGGCGAGAAGCGTTCGCACCGTTTGATTGATAGGCCTGTTGGCGAACCGCATGCGAATAGCTCCGTTGGTGGATTGGCGTACTGTGAATCGACGCCGACGTATTGAAACTGGTCGACGGAACTAATGTACTCAGTGCTTCATTCTCATCAATGGAAAAGAAATGATTTGGCGTCAGGTCCGGGAAATTGCGCCGTTGGAGCGAGATGGGAACGGGGGCGGTTGTTCTGGATGCCGGGGTGGGCGGTTGCGCGGGCGACCTTTGGTCCGGCTCGCTTCCGCTCGCGGTTGCTAGTGGGGCGGCGGCTCCGCCGCGGCACTTGAGATCCGCTCCATGCCTGTCGCGGTTGCTATTCAGGTGCGGTTGTTATTTGCAGGGGCCGAAGAGGAAGAGGGCGGCGACGAGGTCGTTGAAGTCGATACGTCCGGTCTGGTCGGCGTTGCAGGCGCCGTCGTCGGTGTTGCCGAACTCGAAGAGCATGGCGACGAGGTCGTTGAAGTCGATGGCGCCGGAGTCGTCGCAGTCGCCGGGGCAGGGGCCGGCGAGGGTGGGGGTGACGACCCAGACGCCGGTGCCCCATTCGATCTGGTTGTTGTCGGGCGGGGTGAGGCCGCAGTTGAAGCCGACCTGCCCGAGGTTGTTGATGACGGGTGAGCCGCCGAAGACGGGGTTGGACGAAGTCTCCTGGTCGACGCGTGCGTCGCCCAGGTCGCTCGGGAGGATGTCGTTCTCGGTGACGACGCGGACGAGCCAGTCGCCGTTGCCGGCCCAGATGGCGCGGAGGCCGGCGTCGTCGAAGGCGCGGAAGACGACGACACCGTCGTTGTTGACGTCCGGCGCGAAGAACTCGATGTCGCCGACCTCGGAGGTGGACTCGCGCGCGATGACCTTTGTGGTGACGCCGTCGGAGAGGTAGACGCCGCGTTCGCCGCCGGCGAGGCCCGCGACGAAGGCGACGGCGCCGTGGTCGTTCACGGCGCAGGAGTTGTCGAACCCGGTGAAGGGCGACATGGGGTCGCCGTCGTCGTCGGTGACGATGAGGGAAGAGGAGCCGTCGGTTTCGAAGAGGCGGATCTCGTCGGGGCGCGAGCCGGAGGTGCCGGGGCCGACGCGGACTTTGCAGGCGGTCTGGCTCGCGTCGTTGAAGGCGGGGGTGAAGATGAAGGACCAGGGGGACATGAAGTCGACGCCGGTCTCGGCGGCGATGATGGTGTCGTCGCCCTCGGTGTCGAGGACGACGAGGGCGTTGCCGGAGCCGGAGAAGCCGGCGCGGTAGCCGATGAGGCCGGCGTCGTTGATCTGCGCGTTGCCGTAAGAGGAGGCGCCGAGGGGGCGGTTGGTGATGATGCCGCCGTTCATGCCGTCGAGGTCGACGCCGTAGACGCCGTCGAGGGCGCTGAAAGACTGGTGCCAGGTGATCCGGCCGTGGTTGTTGATGGTGGTGGAGCCGAGGACGGCGCCGGTGGCGGCGTTGAAGATGATGGCGCCGGTGGGGATGTCGCCGGCCCAGATGGAGGAGCCGCCCATGGTGTTGGCGCTGATGCGCGCCGAGACGTGGCCCTGCTCGTTGAGGTCGATGGACTCGGAGTTGATGAAGTTGTTGGGCGGGATGTTGAACGATCCGCCCGGGTTCACGGCGAAGTTGGTGCGGAAGTAGAGGGCGTACTGGTCGTAGGTCGGCGCGCCGGCGTGCGCGGCGGCGGCGAGGAGGAGGGGGGCGCACAGAACGGGCGTCGTGAAGCGGGTCGCGGGCATGGTGTGGGTCTCTCCGGAATCGGGCGAATCGGGCAGCGGAACGGGGCGGGCTCTTCCCGTCACGGTACGCCAAAGTTGGCTTGGAATCGAGGAAATTACGGGATCGAGCGTCGAGTCGGATGCGAGCGGGGTGGCGCAGCGATCGCCGTCTGTCGTGGATGAAGACGCGTGCGTGCGATCGTGTTCTGCTGCGAACCCTCGTGCCCCCACGAGGCCCGATCAGAACAAGCTACACCAAATCTGCGGGTGGGGCGAGGACAATTCGGTGAATGCGTCCGGGTGCGCGGCGGAACGGAAGAAGATTCGTCATCGATGTCGATGACGCGCCCGCGTGGACGGGGCGTTGAGCGCGGTGCGGCGCGGTTCAGTTCCCGGAATCGGTCGGAATTTCCTCGACGATTTCGGCGCGGAGGATGGGGACGGGGCCGGAGCGGGTGATGCCGCCGTTTCCGATGATGACGCCGACTTCCTTGCCGAGGAGGGGCGCGAGGTCGCGACCTTCCGGGGCGTCGATGTAGGCGAGCGTGCGGGCGACGGTGCTGGAGCTGCTCTGGAGTCGGTAGCGGAGCGGGAGCTCGCTTCCCGTGTAGAGGGAGGAGCGGGTGAGGACGCCGACCATGGCGTAGCCGCGGGCGCGCATGATCTGCTGGCGCGTGGCGCTGATGGCCTGCTGGTTGGCGTCGGCGAGTTCTTCGAGTTCGGCGAGCTGGGCCTGCATCTGCTGGACTTCGGCGCGGAGGTCGAGGAGGGCGATTTTGGCGTCGGCGTAGTCGGCCATGCGGGCCATGGCGGCGTCGCCCGTGAGGGTCTTCGCGTCGTCGCGGAGTGTGACGTACTCGGCGCGGAGGGGTGTGATCTCGGCGCCCTCGGTCTGCTGGGCGGAGATGGCCTGGTAGGCCTGGTCGAGCTCGGCGAGTCGGGCGTAGAGGGAATCGCGGTCGACGCCGGGGTCCTGGTCGGGCTCGTCGGCGGTGTCCTGGGTGGTGTCGTCGGCGGGGGTCTCGGTGTTGGCGGGCTCGGTGTCGGCGTCCTCGGCGGGGGGCGCGGGGGTTTGCCCGGGTTCGAGTTCCGGCGTCGTGTCTTCGGCGGTGTCGTCCGCGGTGTCCGGGGGGGAGTCTTCGGCGGGTGCGTTGGTGGTGACGGGGGTCTGTGGTTCGGTCTCGGGCTCGGGTTGGGGGTCGGGGGCCTGCTCGGTCGGGGCGGGGGTTGGGCGGAGCGCGGCGAGGTGGGCGTTGACTTCCTCGGGTGTGGCGTCGCGGACGTGGCGGCGGTTGACCCAGCCCTTGGCGCCCTCGGGTGGGAGGACGAAGTAGCCGGCGAGGGTTCCCTCGTCGCGGAGCTCGCCGACGGCGCGGAGCTCGGTGCCGGCGGGGAGGTCGGGGTTGAAGACGAAGTAGTAGTTCTCGACGGCGGAGTCGGGGTAGCGGATGTTTCGGGCGGCGAGGGCGGAGGCGTCGGTGAGGGTGACGGTGCTGGTGGAGGGGTCGAAGGAGGCTTCGTCGAGTTTGACGACGGCGGGGACGCCGGCGGGGTACTCGACGCGGTACCACTCGTCCTTGGTGGCGTCGGCGCGGAGGACCTGGTTCTGCTTGAGGAACTCGACGGGGTACCAGGTCTGTCCGGCGCCGCACATGAGGGGGGCGGGGTTGGAATCGGGTCGTGTGACGGCGACGTACTTGGGCTCGATGGGTTCGGTCTGCGCGAGCGCCGTGGCGGGCGCGATCGCGCTGAGGGTCGCGATCAGTGCGGTGATCCGGGCGAGCGTTTTCCCAGCGTTCGGCATTCGGGGGCGCCTCCTGTGAGGAGATCTGGAGGGGATCGGGCGTGTGCGTCGGTGTGCCCTGGGTGCGGGGAGCGTTGACCGGCGCGGGACGCACGGTGATACTCTCGGCACCCATGACGAAGACACCATCATCCTACCGTCGACCGGTCCGGACCGCAGTCACGCTTGTCGTGCTTTCGGCGTCCGCGGTGTCGTGCGCCCCCTCGCCGTTCCAGGACCGGACGCTCACGGAGCTGCGGGCATCGGTGGTGGAATCGGCGCAGCGTGAGTTCGAGCCTCTCGGGGAGGCGGCGCGCGAGGTGACGCCGGCGGGCCGCCCGGAGATGAAGGACTTCCTGAGCGAGCGGATCGAGGAGCTGGACGAGATGGGGGGTCCGGCGTCGTACGACCGGAGCGACGGGGTGCTCTCGAGCGACATCCGTGAGGACCTCGGCGACGAGGAGCTGGAGACGCTGCGTGAGCAGGAGCCGGAGCTGTTCACGCTGCGGAGCAACCTGCTGGGCGAGGCGACGGAGGGTTTCGCGGTGTCGCTCCGCCAGGCGATCACGAGCGCGGTGTCGAACAACCTGAGCGTGCAGGTGGCTCGCCTGGAGCCGGCGATCTCCGAGGCGCAGGTTGCCGGCGCGGAGAGCGTGTTCGACTGGGTGTTCTTCGGGAACTACCAGTTCGAGAACCTGGACCAGGTGCAGCGGACGCCGATCGTTGCGGGGAACCCGGTGGGCGTGGGCTCGACGGAGAGCGTCTCGAACAGCTACGAGACGGGGATCCGGAAGAACCTGACGACGGGCGGTCAGTTCACGGCGTCGCAGGGGCAGACGAACCTGGACAACCAGACGGCGGGGATCTCGCTGTTCCCGGACCCGTCGAACGAGGCGTTCGTGGACCTGGGGCTGGTGCAGCCGCTGCTTCGCGGCGCGGGGCAGGAGACGGCGCTGGCGCAGGTTCGGCTGAACCAGAACCTGGAGCGGGCGAGCGTCCACAATCTGAAGCTGGAGCTGATCCGGACGGTGCGCGAGACGGAGGAGGCGTACTGGCTTCTGGTGCAGGCGCACAAGGAGCTGGACATCCAGCGGCGGACGCTGCTGCGTGGGATCCTGACGCGTGACATTCTCGAGAAGCGTCTGAACTTCGACGCGCGTCCGGCGGAGTACTCCGACGCGGTGGCGACGGTGGAGCGGCGCCGGAACTCGGTGATCCTGGCGGAGCGGAACATGCGGGACGCTTCGGACCGGCTGAAGGCGCTGATCAACGACCCGGCGATCCCGGTGTCGAGCGAGGTGCTGCTGGAGCCGGCGGACGACGTGGTGACGGCGCCGGTGACGTTCTCGCTGCTGGATTCGCTGCTGACGGCGCTGGACCTGCGTCCGGAGATCGCGATCGCGGTGCTGGGGATGGACAACGCGTCGATCCAGCAGGCGGTGGCGAAGAACAACCTGCTGCCGACGCTGGACCTGAGCTTCCGGGCGCGTTTCCAGGGCCTGGATTCGGACGCGGAGGAGGCGTACGACCAGATCT